TATATATATATATATATATATATATATATATATATATATATATATATATATATATATATATATATATATATATATATATATATATATATATATATATATATATATATATATATATATATATATATATATATATATATATATATATATATATATATATATATATATATATATAAAATTATTTATTTATATTTATATAAAGAGAGAGAGAAGGGGGAGAGAGATTGGAATGTTAATGGATTTTGATTAGGTTTTATGCTTTTTGAGTAGTCTAATGGTGTATCATATTTTAAATAAATATATAAAACTAAATAACTAATAAAAATAAGCAATTAAGTGCATAACCCGTTGGGTCAAACCCGACCCGACCCGTTCTGACCCGAAAATTTAACAGGTCTTCGGATTCGGGTCATTTCAAGTTCGGGTCGCAAAATCAGTGTTCAAAACCCGCTAATTTCGGGTCGGGTTTTGGAATAATAACGGGTCGGATCAAAATTTGTCAGGTCTACCTTTGACTTATAATTAAATAAATATATATTGTATATTAATTCGATAAACTAATATTTTGAAAATATTTGATATAATAAATCTACTAAAACTATTTTTGTATCAATATCTAATATCATTTTAATTTATTTTAAGGTCAAAGTTTACGAATTTAATTAGACTAAAAAAAGTCAAAAGTGAACAAATATTCAGGGACAAAGAGAATACTAACTATTTATACATAGATAAATATTATCCTCTGCATGCATGGCTGCACCTCTTAAAATACTTTTACTTACACCTCATGTCCTCTTGTACCATACATGTTTCATTTGCATGTCGTAAATGGACATAAGTGCATACTCTCACTTTTCTTAAATTAAACCTAACCCCCATATCCCAATTAGACATTTTCTAAACTTTACTCGTTTTTAATATTGTTATTTCATCTCGGTCAGGTTAGGTTTAATTTCGAATTCAATTTCAACTTTGATAATTTCGTGCACCAACCAGACTTTTACTTTCCTTAATTTAAACCTAACCTATGTACCTCAGTGACGAGCTGTTATCGCAATGGTGGCAAAAAGCACAAGAGGAAGCGGCCGAATCGTCCCAACACTCGACCTGACATAAACATTAAAACCGTGAACGGGCGGCTGCTCACGAAGCACTACTCAACGACTACTACAATAATCTGTTGTTTACCCATCAGAGGATTTTAGTAATCGTTTTTGGACATTTCTACTACACCTCATGTCCTCTTCTACCACTCAAGGACTACTACAATACTCTCTTGTTTACCCATTGAAGTTGAGGCTTCAAATTCATTTCTAGTGAAATTGTAAGATAAGTTAAAAGAGAATTAAAAATGTTGTAGAGACCATAAGTTTGAAGCACTGGACAATATATTAAAAAGTTTTAAGGTAATTTAAAAGAGAGTTAAAGATAATGGACAATATTAGAAATTTCAGAATTACACATTCCTTAAATTTCACCGCGAAAAAATTTTATGGGATAGAAAGTGCACTTGATTGCAACTATCATTAAAATTATTCCATCGGTTCTAATTTTAATCACCTGTTTTAGTTTACAATGTTTGAATAAATTTATTTTCAATACAATTTGAGAATTGAGCTAGAATAAAAAAAATTTACAAATTTCCGTCCAAGAATAAAATTCTCACTTTGACTTGGCACGAATTTTAATAAAACATGAAATTTACTTTGACTTTCCTAAAATACCCTTCATCCCAATCCCTTCTCTTTTCTTGTCCACCCATTTTCTTCAGTCTCTGCAATCGGATGCCCCCCCCCCAATAAGGCCGAATCTCCTCGCGGCTCTGCCATTATCACCGACAGCCGTCACCTATTCCGATCCAATTGGCACCTCACTGCTCGCCGTCACCTATGCCTACTCCTTCAATCGGCGCCTGTACTCAGCCACCACCGCCGATTTCTTTGTTGACGCTGACTTCGGATCTGAATCAAAATTCTCAGATCTGATGGAGATGGACAAGAAAGAAGAAAAGAAAGAAGAAGAGTTGAAGATGGACTGGGCATTGGACCGGGAATTGAAGAAGAAGAAGAAGAAGAGGAGATCGAACCGCCCTTTTACCTCCGACCACCGCCACCGCCTCGCTGCCTCACCTTTACTCCGCGATTCGCTGCTCTCAATTAACAGGAAAAAAATTAGAAGAGCAAAGGAGAAGAAAGAAGAAGAAGAAGAAGAAGAAGAAGAAGAAGAAAGAAGAAGAAGATGATAAGAAAAGAGAGAAGAAGAAGAGAGAAAACAGAAGAAAGAAAAGAGTGACGGCTGGGGAAAGGAAATGGGTGGGGAAGAAAAAAGAAAAAGAAAGGATAGGGAGTGGGTGGGGAGGGTAATTTAGACTTTTTGGTATAAAAAACTTTCCAAAAATAGAAATGGGAAGATTATTTTTGGACGGACGAAAAAGAAAAGTGAGAACTTTATTTACGGAGGGAGTAAAAGTTATGAAACAAAATAATATGCCATTATTACATTACGTACTCCCTCCATTCCTTTAAACCCTTCCATTTTTGACTTTTGACAAAAATAAGGAAAGTGTAATTTTGGTTGACTTTCCAATTTTGCCCCTGATGTGATAGTTAAAAATAAGATGTGATAGTTTATTAGTGAAAAAGTATGATGTGATAGGTAGGGTATAAAAAAATAAGGGTAAAAGTGGTTTTTTAATAGAAAGTGGAAGTGTTTTAGGGAATACTCCCTCCGTCCCACTGTGTTTGTCCACTTACCTTTTGGCACACCATCCAATGCACTTCTTTAATCCATTTTATCTTGTAATTTATATATTAAAAATTTATAAAAATTACTCCCTCCGTCCAAGAATAATCTTCCTATTCTACCTTTTTTCCCGTCCGAAAAAAATCTTCCTATTCTACCTTTTCATCCCAATTCTTCCTAAACTACCCCTCTTGTTAAATCTCTTTTTCTTTTTTTGCTTTCTCTCCCCTTTTTCTCGACCAAAGCCCATATCTCTATCTCACTTCCCCAACTCCCCTCTTCTTCTTCTCCTCCTCCTCTGCCGATTTTCTTCTCCTCTGCCGATTCTTCTCCTCCTCCTCTTCGATTCTTCTTCTTCTTCACTTCTTTTTCTTTTTTTTCTCATCCTCA